TCCTTGTACCTTAGCTGTAGCTCAGGGGCAGGAACAGGACTCCTTCCTTCTTCAATAGCTTGCTGCGGCAATAAGCTGTAACCCAAGAAAATTTAATACCAAATCAAAGTATAACATTGTTCACAGGGTCAAGTCTTCCATTACTGGGTAACTATTTTAAGTTGCCTGGTTTCAAGCAGATAAAACACAAAGAGATTATTAAAGATACAAGGCTAAGCTGTTTAGGGAGGGTCCATGGGAAGAAAAAAAAGACTTGACCACTTGACAGCTAGATGTTTCGGGTTGAACTGATGTCTCCCACCAACACACAGCAGAAACTTCACTAATTCCCAGTTGGCAAATGGTTGCCAAGCAAGCTAAGCAAGCCACAAGGACCTAGGGTTGACCTGACTAATACATGAGTTTATTAGCACCCTCCATCTCTAAAAGGTATCTAAAATACAGGCGCTTCATAGGCATTACTTTCAGAACATCCTAACTTCTCTACAACAAATACAAAACTTTTGCCAGGTGTTCTAATCAAAAAAGGCTTGCTAGTTTAGAGAAAAACTCTTCATCACCCTACCAGAAAACCAACTGTTTTCTACATTTTAGTAACTGATTATTATACTTTTCTATATTTAAATTAAACCAAGTCAGAACTTCAGATTACATAAAACTCCCTACCCTACAAAGTACTATTTCAATGAGCTATCTTAATATAAAATATTGTATTTTTGTACATGCAATCATTTAGCAAGTGAACTAGTTATTAAGCCATTAACCTTTAATTCTTCATGTAAAAATTCCTGACCACCAATGAGAAGATTTCAGGAAAAGTATTATCCCAGGGCTTTCATAATCTAAATATGCCAACTGTGAACACCTTCAGGGCAAAGGGCATGAGAAGTAATTGGTGTTCATAAAGTAAATAACTAAAGAATACATATGTATTGCACAGCTTTCCTCAAATTTCTTCTTCCTGTATACCCAAGGCATAAAAAGTGTCTACAAAGTTTCGTTTTCTCCTAAACTCCTCTACATTACACAGTATGTGGCTTTACCATTCATGTATTGGCACTTCAGCCTTTTACCTAACTGAAACACCAACCTTTAAAATCTAATTATCAAGTAAAACCAAAGGGCTTCAACCATTTTCCCACTCTCAAGAAAACTCTCACCAAATGTATGATCCCTTCTCCTCATCTACCTCAAAGTTCTCACTGCAGGAGGGCAGGGCAGAGGTGGATCTAGACCTCACCATCTCACAGGCAATCCATTTCTTTTTCCATTGTCAGAGAAGGTCTTCCTCACGCTGAAGTGAGGCTATCTGGGACTGCAGCCTTGGTCTCTCCTTTGTGGCTATGTCCTTTCACATTACAGCCTTTGAATACTGTGTTTTCCAGAAATTAATAAAACTCTCTTGAAGGTATCTGGTATGGGTGTAACAGGACTTTTGAAATCTTTTTATTCTGGAGACTCTTCCATAAATATGGTCTAAGACTGGTTTAAACAACTAGTTTTTCAAATTGCTTGTCACCTTTAAAGGCCTAGTTTCACAACATCCATCACTTTACTGTCATATTTCAGAATTTAACCACACTTTTACCTACTTCTCACGCTAAAGTAGGGATAAAACAGAAATAATTTTTTTTATGTACACACATTTTTAAAAAATCAAGCTAAATGGTACCTGCAAATAAATTTCTTCTTAGAAAGACTAGTATCATTCATAAATGCCCAAACTTGGAAATACAAAAGTAGATGCTCATAATCAACTCCCACTTACAAACTGAGAAAAACATAGTATTGGAATTTCTGGGTGACTAATTGTACAATTTTATAGTTCAATAGGACTTATTCCACATAATACACTCTGAAATCTTTCAATGGGGGTTCCCACAATTGACTTTGCTACAATGCAGATACTGTGAGAACCAACACATGATCTGTATTTTAAATTTTAAAATTTAGTAAGCTCAATTTAAAGGAGTCAAGCTAGGGTCAAAAAAAGTAATGAGGACAGGGAGGAGTTAATACTCTCCAAACAGACTAAGAATGCTCTCCAGGCTGAGTACCACAGAGAAGAAACAGGAGAGCAGCTCTCGGAGTCCAAAGGCTGGAAAAACTATAGTTTCTTAACTTCCATATCTGCTGTTAAAGTTGCCTAACACAGCATTTTCCTCAATTCCAAGATGCATAAATGATTTGGAGGAGGAAAGGAAAATATATCATATTAAAGGGGTAAAGAGGTACATTTAAGAATCTAAAAACGTGAAAGATATGCAACTTAGAACTGAGGAGCTTCAGTAATACCGTTCTTGCAACAGAAGCCCAAAGTGCCTCAGGTTAAAACTGTGCTTTCTCCAGGGCCTGTTACCGGTGTGCAAACTCACAGTCACATTTTTCATTTCATAAGCCTAGAGTTAACTTTTTAAATCCGTTTCCCCCCAAATAGTCCTCCTATTTTAGAATCCTATTTTCCTACACTGAAAGCAAGCAAACTGGTCTAAAACCTGGAAGTCTTTGTTTGTGACACATTTACAAGCTACAGATAGGTTTTTGAACAAATAAGTGAGAAACTGTTGTTTAATATTACTTTATTTAGGTCAAGGATCTCAACATAACTTCACCATTGTACATAAGTCACCATTGTTACAGCCTTCTATCTACTGCCATGGGGCCTCTTTCTCCAAGAGGCAGTTCACCTTTATTATCTACTTTCTAGGGTTTTTCTTTTTTTTTTTGCCCCCTTCCCTCATGCGGAAGATTTACGAGGAAGGTTATTAATTATTTTAACCAAATTACACTCGGTTGATCTGAACTAGAGTAAAAAATGGGTGCTCCACATCCAAAGGCTATGTTATTACAGGACATAAAACAGTATGGTAAAAGAAATACATTTAACTTATACTTGCAGCTATGTTAACCAAGATAACTGGCAACTATGGCAAAAACAAAGGGTAGTGCAAGTCTTCATTTCAAAGGTTTCAAAGGGTTACAGAATGCACAAGTATTATGCCTACAGGTTGCCTCTTTCAGTATCACCTGCTACCTCCCCAAGACAAGGAAAGTAAACAAACGGAATTTCAGTAACAAATTTCCCAGGTTCTACACTTCCTAAAACACATAGGTTGACGGGAGGGCTTAAACAACTTCCACCTAATTAAAAATCTTCCCTTTTAATAATATTTTGTTTTCACTGCTCCTATCCTTTCCGAGTTACATATCCCGGTAAGGGAGGAGGAGGGCCAAGAGGGATATTCAAGAGGCTGAACAATACAATCTTAACTTCTTCCAAATCCATGAACAACAAGCTGGGGGACACAATGGCATGCCTCACCAGGCTGTCTGGACCTGATAGAGAGGCACTCGAGTCCTTTCCCAGTTAACAGTATGCAAAGCACACTTCCTAACAATCTCCCGACGCTCCGTGATTGTTAGTTTATCAATTGAGCTTAAGTTCAATCAAACTTGGTAATACTCCTCGCAATTGACCCAGAGCCTGATTCAAACGTAAAAATCCGTCCACCCCTCTAGCGCTGTAGGAAGCTGGGCTTCCAAAGTTCGGACCTGGTACAATGATTTTTGTTTATTACACCTGGTGGAGGAAAAACACAAAACCATACACCAAACTACGTTACCGAACTCCGAATTCACGGGAGAATGGGGATTTCGGCGACGACTTGAGGAGTACATGACCCAGGACAGAGGACGAAGTGAGCTGCCTCCGGGCCGCGGGCCCCTGTCCTTGGCCACGCCGTCACCTGAAGGGAACGGGCTGCTGGTTCGCTTAGCATCCCTCCAAACGTGAAATCATCTACCTCAAGATCAATCAAAAGCAGGGGGAATAAAGTGTCTTCTGGAGGCGCAAGAAAGGCCACAACTTGGATGAATGAAACTGGGCTAAGGGCACCGGGAGCGGGATTTTCGCTGAAGTCAGAAAAAGAAAAGTCAAAGATTTTTTTTAACATGAGAGCGACTGCAAGAGACGGGGATACAGACAACTGCACAAACACGCTTTGGAGGAACGCTTTATTGGGCGCGGACGTTCCGGGTGGCCGGCGGGCGCTAGAGTGGAGGCGGGCGGCGGAGGCCGGCAGGCGGCGGAGCGGGACGCAGCAGGCAGCGGCGGGGCCGGCGACGAGGCAGCTTCACGACTGGCGGGGACGGGCCGGAGCCGGGCTGGGCGCTCGCGCGTGTCCTCCCGCGGACCTTCCACTGGACTCCCGAGGGCCGGCGCCTGGATCGGGGTCGGGGCCCGCTCGGGCCGCCCCGCCCCCGCCCGGCCGCTTGCGAGGCACACCCTCCCGGACCGCGCACACGCGCAGGCACACCCCCGCCTCCCGCGCGCACGCGGCCGAGCCCGACCGGCCCACGCGCGCCCCCTCCCCGCGGACGCCCGCCGCCCGCCCGCCGCCCCGACCTCCTCCGAGGAGTGCAGGAAGGCCCGGGGTTCCGCGGCCAGGGCGCGCGGGGGACGGCGGCCTAGCGGCAGCGGGGGCGCCCGCGCGGGAAGACCGGCTCTGAGGGAAGGTCACTTACCCGCTGCATGGCTTTCAGGATTAAAGCCAGCTCGTAGCGGGGCATGCCTGGAGGATCGGCGAGTGCGGCTCAGAAGCGAGCTGGTTCCCGGGACGCGAAGGGGCGGGACGACGGAGACAGTGGGGACCTAAAGACTGCCGGGCCGGACGGCTCCCAGGCGGCGAAAGCACACTCCGGCCGCGCGAGCCCAGGCTTAAAGGCGCTGGCAGCTGCGCAGACGCCGCGCCACGCCCCCTCGGCGCGCCCCGCCCCGCCCGCGCGCCCAGCCGCCGCCCCGCCCCCTCTACGCCCGCGGGCAACCGCCACGCCCCCTCCGCAGCCCCGCACCCGCCGCGCCGCCCCCGCCCCGACCCCAGCCCAGCCCGCCTGCCGCGGCTAGGGGCGGCGCTGCAGACTCGGCCCACAGCCGCTCGCGGCGGCCGCACGCCCCCTCGCGACCCTGCCTCCCCCTACCCGCCTCCCGCCATGCCTGCTACCTAGCGCTCGAACCGGCTGGAACTTTCTATGCCTTCCTTCTCCTCCCGGGCGGCGGGAGAGTGAGTGCCAGCCAGTGCGCGTGCGCTGCGGTGCGGTCTCGTCCGTGCGCGCGCCCCTCGCCCGCGACTCCCCGGCACTAGGGACCTTCCCGGCGGAAGGCGGGGTCGTGGCCGGCCCGGGGGCTCTGCGGCCAACGGCTGCTCGCGGGGGTTCTGGAACATTCCTGCTCGGGGTCGGTAGAGGGGTGACGCTTGCGCCCCCAGTCACAACCCTCAGGTCTGGCACGGCTGACCAGGCCCCCTACCCGGCGAGGGGCGCGCTGGCACAGGCCGTGGGCCGCGGCGCGCGGGCTCGGGTCTGATTCAGTCCCTTCGCGCTGCGTGACCTTGGGCCGGCTGCCTGTGCTGAAAGTGGGGACCCGATGCTTTGAGTGAGTTGATGCACGTAAACCTCCGAGGACGGTGCCTGGTACACACAGGCGCGATATGGGCGTTTGTGGTGTGCGCTTGACCTGTCCCCACGTGTTGTAGCCGAGGGCAGGCGAACACCTTAACCCTATCTCATTTCTTTAAATGTTTGCTCAGCTTTCAAAGGCTAGGCTGAGTGCTTGGGAGACCCTTTAGCAACTATCTGCGGTGGGCGGGGGCCGTGCCTTCTGCACTTCCCATCCCTTTACACACACACGGTTCTCCGCCCTCCAGCCAGTGGCTCTGCAAATGCAGTTTTATCCAGCAGCCTTTCTTAGAGATTGAGTACCCTGCAGCTGAGGCCACTGCCCCTTGCTTGCCCCATTAAAAGCTCTGTAAGTGGAGTGTTTGTCAGCTTAAAGTGCTTTAATGTTAATAGGTAAAGTTTAGTGAACACTTATTCTTTATCAGGTCCCATGCCAAGGCTGGTGGGTGTGTCTCCTAAAATTCTCACAACAGCCCTGAGGTGACAAAGATTCTTTGCTTGGCCAAACTTTAGTCAGGCTTCTGAATCTTCTGCTAGGCCCATCTGTGCACTTCCTTGTAAAATCCAATTCTAGCACAGAACCTCCATCCCCTCGTAGCAGATCAGGTTCTTCATCTTTATCCCCCAGTCATGTCTTTTCACTCTGGCCTGAGTTCTACAAGAATCCTTTAGATCGGTTTAGCCAGAATCCCTCTTACCCCGATGGTTCTTCTTAGTGATTTTACATGGCCATAAATTCCTACTTGCCCATGCTGCATTCAGAGTTGAGCCCACTCTCTCTCTCTCCCCTCTGCAAGACCGAGTTTCCCTGATCCCTGTACCCATCGCGTTGGTCCTGAATAAAGTCTTCCTTACCATGCTTTAGTAAGCATCATTGAGTAATTTTTTTAAAAAGAGGCAAGCACTGTTAACCCCATTTTAGGGATTAGGAAATACAGGCACAAAAAGTTTTGTAACTAGTCCAAGGTCGTAGTGTAATAGAAACAAAGTACTTTTAGCCATCACGCTACCCTTCTTGCCTCTGGTTCTCCTATCACACAGATGAAAATTCCGGTTGTTATTCAGTGGATTAACCATGTAGTCCACGTAAGCCAAGAATAGAGTACCTTTTGTCACCTTACCCAGAGGTTACCGTTTCACATCCCATGCGTCTTTTGTGGCATATGGGAGGTAGGAGATGAACCCAAGTTTTTCTGAGATAACTGGATTTTAACATTTTCTGTTCTTAGACTTGTCTACAACCCATGTTCTTCCAAAGAGAAGCCACACAGGTAATCGAAATTGCCTGGCTAAGTGTCAATTAACTTCACCTTTGGTTTAAACAAGCAGCATACTATAAATAACAGCAGGAAACAAGGAATTTCTGGACCTTCAGAAGTGAGTTACAGGCTGGGCACAGTGGCCCACACCTGTAATCCTAGTACTTTGAGAGGCTGAGGTGGGTGGATTCCAGCCTGGGCAACATAGTGAAACCCTGTCTCTTCTAAAAATACAAAAATCAGCTGGGTGCGGTGGCATGTGCCTGTAGTCCCAGCTACTCGGGAGGCTGAGGCAGAAGAATCGCTTGAACCCAGGAGGCAGAGGTTTCAGTGAGTGGAAATCACACCACTGCACTCCAGCCTGGGTGACAGAGCGAGACTCCGTTAAAAAAAAAAAAGTCACAGATTTTCTAGAATGGTTCCACTTCCACTGTCCCCCCTGTTGTCAGTTACATCCCCCAATTTAGTAATGAGAAAATATAGACCCTGTAGTAATATGCCAAGTCAAACACTGAGGCGGCGCAATGAGCTGACTTCAACTCAGAGCATTTCCTCTTGGAAGCTTCCTAGTTTTCCCCTAATGCCCAGGGATGAGTGAAGACCTGGCATCTTCTCTACCCCTCCTTCTAACTTGACAAGTGGTATAAGGAAATTAACGTGACTGCATAATACCTCACCACAGAGTCAGCATCCCCAAGTCCTCCCAATCTGGTAGCCAGCCATGGACTCATTCCATTTCTTAAGGGTAGAGAGAGGGCAGCTACTGTGATTTTCCCCCTTCAACCTTTTTTTGAAAAGCACAGAAGCTGCCGGGCACGGTGGCTCACGCCTATAATCCCAGCACTGTAGGAGGCAGAGGCGGGCGGATCACCTGAAGTCGGGAGTTGGAGACCAACCTGACCAACATGGAGAAACCCCGTCTCTACTAAAAATACAAAATTATCCTGGCGTGGTGGTGCGTGCGTGTAATCCCAGCTACTTGGGAGGCTGAGGCAGGAGAATTGCTTGAACCCGGGAGGCGGAGGTTGCAGTGAGCCACGATCGTGCCATTGCACTGCAGCCTGGGTAACAAGAGCAAAACTAAGTCTCAAATAAATAAATTAAAAGCACAGAAGCAGAATGCTCGTGGCTTCATTTAAAAAAAAATTTTTTTTTTAATCACAAGGAATGCTGTTGCAAATTTAGTGTCTTCCTACTATAACTACAAACTTAAATTCACCAAAACAATTTTTAACTTTATACTATGTATAGTCAGTGTAGTAAAAGTATAACATATTACTGCAGCATTTGATGTATTAATTTAAAAATGACTCTAACTCTTAGATTCTCCAAAGCATTTATTATGGTATGTGTTTAAGATTTGATTAACCGAAAGTTTGATTAATTTTCAAGTAAGTTTTTTTGAAGGGGAATAGGAAGGAAGAATAGGAAAAGAAGTTGAAATCCAGCCCTATTTGTGAAAAAGGAACCTCAAGATACACCCTGGGTCAGTTTAATCACCTTTACCTTCTTATTTTATATTGCTGTATAATGAGACTTGACCTTGAGCTTTCTAATCGTTAATCCTCAAAGATGGCCATTATTTTTATTACTGAGTCTAACATTTTGAGCATTAACTATGAACCAGAACCTATTTTAAATTATTTGTATGTATTAACTCTCAGTTCTCACCACAAAGATATGTATTATAACTGCCCCCATTTTACATGTAGGGAAAAGGAGACTTCATAAACATCTTCAGCAACTTGCCCCAAATTATGCAGAAGTCAGAGCCTGCACGCTTAACTCCAATACCATATAGCATTATGTTTACTAGCCAGTGCAAACTGAGCAACTATCTGTCAATGAACCAGCTTTTATTGTAGTCCTACTCTGTCCTCTCCCCTGGGTGACTGCAGTCTCCCACTCCTAGAACCCACATAACGCCCTCCCTTGAGTGGCCAGATTCTCCCCTTGCACAGACTTCTTCCTTCCGCCGTGAAGCATATATAGTTCTCTTCTAGCTAGGGGGGAAAAAAAGCCTTATCATAACCCTGTTACCCTCTCGAGCTGTCATTATTTTCTTCTTTTCACAGCCCCAGACCCACTGCATCTTCTAGCCTTTGCACTCTGTGTTCCCTCATACCAGCCGTCACCACTGGCCTTCCATTTGCCCGCCAAGTAGCAGTTTCCCGGGCATCATTGTCAGGGACCTCTCTGCAGTCCTGAGGGTCTCTTCTTGGCTATCCATGATCCTATACTCTTGGGGTTTTCCTTTGCCTCCTTGGTCCCTGTGTCTGGCTCCTTTTTCCCCTCCTGTCCCTGAATGTGGCTGTTCTGCAAGCAAGAAGGTGTCTCAGCAGCAAGGATTTAAGGCAAGACTTGCCCATGAGTTCCCGTGATCCAAGTGCATTGGAGTTTGGCTGTGAACAGCTTTAAACTGATCTTTCCTGCCAGAATCCCGGTTTACTGTAACAGTACAGGGGGGCAGTGGAAAGTGTATAAATGAGTGATCTCCTTGTCTGTAGATGAGGAAGCTGACACGAAAACAAGGTCCATTATTTATCCCAAGCCATAGAGCCCTGGGGTGGCACAATTCGAAGAAAATACTTTTGCTTACCATATTCTCCTTCCTAGGCATGCACTGCGTGCTATGATGCCAGTTTTACTGTTGCTAATGGATTAATCCACTGTGAGTGTGATAACTCCTGTATTCTGAAAGGTGAGTTCTTTTTCTTTTCTTTTCTTTTTTTTTTTTTTTTGAGACAGTCACCCTAGTAGCTGGGATTACAGGCACCCACCACCATGCCCAGCTAATTTTTCTATTTTTAATGGAGACAGGGTTTCGCCATTTTGGCCAGGCTGGTCTTGAACTCCTGACCTCAAGTGATCCACCTGCCTCGGCCTCCCAAAGTGTTGGAATTACAGGCATGAGCCACTGCGTCTGGCCCTAAAAGGTGAGTTCTAACAGTCATTGGGAAGAGATAAGATAAACACAAATCATCATTCTGCTTGGGAAACCATGTGTCTCTAAATACGGCCCCCAGAAGGTGGCGAAATGTGCCTGTTTCCAATTAATGGAGACAATGATCCCACCATAGCACCAAATCATCTGTTGAGCTGTCAGTCATCACTCTCATCAGCCTGTCATCTTCTCCTAGATAAAAGTGAGCCTCCATTCATGGTAAAGTATACTCCAACTCCCCAGTTTTGCATCACTAAGTCCTGGGATTATTCCCTAACTAACTCCTAGAACCTGGGTCTGTAAAACCCTGTTTCTTTGTCTGGCTGTCCTGCGTGTTATCTGTGTTCCTCAGCCGATAGCCCAAATGCAAGTCACATTTCAAATGTATTTCGTTTGTAACTGTTTTATCAGTGAAACCGCTGGTATTTCCTGATCCCCCCTACACTCACCCTCAATAACCCTTTCAGACCTTCTTGGCCATACCCATTTGCTTTGATTCTTCTTTTTCTTCTCCGTAAGCCCCCAGGTGCTACATAGGCTAATTCGTACCTCTCTAACTCTGTCAGCTTGCGCATGCTATTGCTTGCATTCCTTGCACAATGGAATACTGTATAGAACTTCTTAGGGCGGACATTTGGAGGGCTCTTTAAACATTTTCTTTCTTTTAATCCTCCAATTTCATGATTATTTTTCTAAGTTTCATCAGCTGAGGGGGGTGCGGTTCAACTGGGGCTCTACTTATATGAAAAAAGGTAAAGGAAAGATTGCCTAAATCTCATGTTCTCTCATTTCCAGCCCCACCTCACCCTACCCTACCCAAAAAAAAAAAAAAAAAAACAAGCTTATGGCATGTTTTTGGGAGATATTCTCCTTACTCCTTTTTTTTTTTTTTTAACTCTTATGACTTTAAAAAGACAAAATATTGCTTGCATCACTACTTGCTGGAAGAGTTAGTTTTTTCTAATAACAAGATTGTAGTGTGTCCCCCAACAGGCCCACAAGTGTTCTTAATGTTAAATGTCAATAAAGTTGGAGGTATTAAACAGCCTTTTGTTCTTTCTCCACGAGTGCAAAATCAGAAGAGCACACGTGGAAGTGTTTTAGATTTAGTAAAGGGAACAAAGGCCAGGTGCCAGAGGCTGCTGTGTTGGGAGGAAACCGTCTCTGCAGGGGTCTCCAGGGGTTGGGCCTCCCAAGCCAGGTGCTAAACAAAGGGCCTCTTGGGAGGACCCCGCAAAATCAACTGGGGAGCAGTCCTCAGGGCCAGGCGGGGAGAGCTGGGTGAGCCAGGCTGCTCAGCATGAAGGAGTTTTAAGGCTGGAGGTGAAAGGACAGGAGATGAGACCCAAATGTCTTCAAAGGGAGCAAGTGCGCATGCTTTGGAACGCAGAGGAGGGCGTTGTGGTGGCCGCAGAGAGGAGCAGTGGAGTCCAGAATCCACAGGGCTTGACAGCTGCTGAGATATGTGAGTGGCAGCTCAAGGGCCAGTGTCAACTGCGTTCTTGGGTTTCTTCTCCAGAAACATTCTTGACCAACTAACCTTTGTTCTGGCCACATGCACCTTTGGTATTTCCTCAGCTCCTAAGGTAAGGCTTCTGTTAAACTTCAATTCATTAGCATTTCTTCTCGGATGTTTTATTTTCATCAGTCTTCATAGCAACATGATAATCTTCTGAGGACCTGAGGTAGTAACTCTTATTTCTCTAATAGTCTCTTAATTCGGGGCTTTCACCAAGAGGAGGAGGTCTGTCCCAAAACCTGCATTGGGTCCCCACCTAAGTGTCATGACGCCGCCAGGCAACGCTTCCTGGTAAGACAGTCAGCATGCAGGTGTCATCTCAAAGTCCAGCCCTCTGTGAGGCTCACGCCGCCCCCTGTTGCTGGGACTGACTGGACGTGGTTCTGTTGATCCACATGGGAGGATGCCCTCGTGATCATCAGCCAAGGTTGAACAAAGACCCAGATAAAGAAAACAGAAAACAACCCATTTTTAAAAATTTTTAAATGAACAGACATTTCCTCCAAGAAGATGGCCAATAAGCACATGAAAAGATCTTCAACATCATTAGTTATTAAGAAAATGCAAATTAAAACTGGAATGAAATACCACTGCATACCTATTAGAATAGCTAAAATTAAAAAGACTCCAAAGACCAAGTTCTGGTGGGAAGATGGAGCAACTGAAACACACACTGCTGATGGGAATGTACATTGTGTGATCATTTCAGTAATGTCTTACAATGTTATACACAGACCTACCATGTGACCAGCCATTGTACTCCTAGGTATTTACCTAAGATGAATGAAAGCATGTGCCCACACAAAAACTTGTACACAAATGCGCACAGCAGCTTTGTTTGTAATAATCAATAACTGAAACAACTCAAATAACCATCAACAGGTGAATGGAAAAACAAATTGTGATATACCTATACAATGAAATTCTGCTCAGCAATAAGGAGTAAACTGTTGATATATTCAACAATGCAGATGCATCTCAAAATAATTATGCTGAGCGAACGAAGCCAGACAGAAAAGAGTACATACTAAATGGTTCCATTTATATACGATTCTAGAAAATGCAAACTTAAAGTGACATAAAATGAATCAATGGCTGCTTGGGGTCGGAATGAAGCAGAGAGATTATAAAGTGGCATAAGGAAACTGAGGGCATGATGGATATATTTATTATGTTGATTAGGGCAATGGTTTCTTGGATATATATACACATGTATCAAATTGTATACATTAAATATGTATGGTTTATTATACATCAGTTATACCTCAAAACTGTAAAAATATAAGTCATTCACATCATTATGCTCAGAGGAAAGTCATTTTGGTTTGTCTGATGTACGTCTATCTTCATCTTTCTCTGTTTCCCCTTCCCCAGATTCCTGGATAAAAGGATCAAGATCACATCCTTTTCTGGTATTCAAGCCAATTAAGCCAAAACAAACTAAAAGTCCCATTAAGTTCTACAGGAGATGCAAGAAGTATAAGAAATAGTTTACAGGAGATGCAAAGATGTGTAAGAAATCTAGGTAGCAAGAGAAGATATAAATGTGTTTACAGTTAAATTGTCTTAACAAGATTGAAGTATCTGTTCTGAAAAATAGAAAACATATAAAAAGAGTGTGATTAACTGTCTAATGAAGATTAAGGGCAAAAATTTCCAGAGAGGGATTACTTTGAACTGGGATGGTTCAGGAATGTTTCATGTATGATGTGGGATTTAAGCTGGAATGTGAAGAATGGATAACATTTTATAAATAAGAGGAAAGAGAGCGCGCACAAGATGTTTTGGTGGGGTCAGAGGGTGGTGACATGGAGTGAATAAGTTTGACAGGAGGAAAGATTTCAGTAAGAGAATCACGGGACTCAACTCTACAAAGTGGGACCAAAGTGGGAGGGACTTAAGTGCCAGGCAGTGTCTAAACTCCCAGCCTTGATTTCATCTTCACATGAGGAAGAACTTGGGAGATAGTCAGCCTTTCATCACCAGAATCATTCAGCAGAGTGTGTGCACATGTGAGGGATGTGGAAAGGAGCTAACTCTTGAATAGACAAGTCCTTCCCAATTCTGAGCCACTGGTCACAGATTCATGGGCTTCAAAAGCATCTTTGCAGGTAGCACAGGACATTTGTTTCATAGCATCTGGGTTCCTCTTGGAAGTGGTGCCTGACTCTCATACCAGAGTCAACAGAGCCAAATTTTCCCCTTTTCTATCCTACATTTAGTCAGGGAAGGGAAGACATTCAACTGCAGCCAATCAGACTCTTCCCCCATGCTTTTGAATTCTGAGTGGACAACACAGTGACATGAGGAACAGTTAGAGTGACTCAACATGTTGGCCAGACCCTTCCTGCTCCATCCCTGTGGCTTCCAATCTTCCTGGTTACCAGCTCTTCAGAGTGCTGTTGGTTCCTGGCCAGTCCCCTAGTCTCTAGTCCACTCTGTGATTCCCAACTATCATTTCAATAAATTTCATTTTTGCTTTACACAGAGTCTGTAGCTTATAGCAAGAACCCTGACAGAACTCTTTGGGTCATAGCACTTCAGTTCCCTGCATAACCTATTGGTATTAGTTCAGACCACTGGGGCTGTATGGCACAAGTCTACTCCCTCTGCCACATGAGCTCCTATGTCTGAAGACAGTTTTATGGTCTATCCTGAGCCCTCCCTTCTCTGGGCTAAATGTTCCCTTGTTCCTTTGGGTACTCCTCATCTCACATGGGCTAAGTTGTTTCCGCAGCCTGGGTGGCTTTTTCCAAGAGTGCGCAACTGCCCACATTTAGACCTTTTGTGATTCAATAAAAGTCACTCCTTTTTTGTTTTCCCTTGCAAAGACTATATTATAGCCAGGGTACTGGTTCAGCTACTGAAACAAAAGTCAGAGTAACAGTGCTTAAACAAGACTTCTATCATAGAAAGATCTGAATGTAACCAGGACTGGGGACCCAGGCTTTTTCCAGCTTGCTGTCTATTTATAAGACATGGCTTAAATCTCATGGTTCATTATGGCTGTTCTGCTCCCAGCACCATGTTCACATTTCAGGAGCAGTACGGCAAAATAGAAGAAAGACTTCAGTGATTCCCTTTAAAGAAGTGGCCCAGAAGTTGAACCCATCACTTACACTGGTATTCCAGGGATCAGAACTTAGTCCTTCCTGTGGTCTTGCCTTCCCTCGAAGAAAGGCTGGGAAATGTAGCTTTATGTAGCACAGTACGGTAAACTAGCAGTCTCTGCCATAGACCGTATAATGTAATTTGGATATCGCCCTGTAAATTATTCTAAGTATAATAAGATGTTATGCAAGTCACAAATGGTTAATTGCCCATAACTTTCTAACACTCAGTCATTGTTGGGTATTTTGCAGTGATTATCAGGCTAGAGTTACTGAAAGAGTTGAGTT